AAAAAACAGGCTTTTCTGAGCACAAACCAATGAGGATAATGTCCAGTAGGCTTGATAAACAACCAGAAAAGGAGAAGCTAACAGCGGGTTAAGAAGGCCGATTCTGAGGGAATCTGTCAGATCTGGGTTTGCTTTGGCCTTTTCCCTCCATCAGCTACAGAAACTGGAACAAACGATGCGTCTTTGTGTCTCTGCTGCTGACAAAGAGCCTGAAAATCCACTTTAAGCTGCTGCTCTGCTGGCTCATCCCTTGAGTTAGGGGCCTTTTTCCTGCCTGAATGACTCGTAGCTCGGCTTCAGTGGCGTAAAAGATTAAAACAGAACTGAAAATAAGTGAAAAAGGAGGAAAACGTCCAAATAAAAAGTCTAAAAGAGCCTCAGAACAAATATTAATTGTAATTGATTGATAATTCATTATTGATCGGGAAACTTTAGAAGGTTTAAGCTCTTTGCTGAGTTGTCTGCTTTGTGTGGACACAACACCGGCTCATCCCTTGAGTTAGGGGCCTTTTTCCATAATCCTGAGAGAGGAGGTTGTTTAGCGAGAGACGAGATCTGTGGCAGAGACGCCAGGAAAGAAAGTTTCAAATGAGAAATTCACAGAAAAGTGGCAGAAAAAAGGGCAGAAGAGGGCAAAGTTTGAGGCTTTTTAAGGGCCCCCATCATCCAACTGATCTGTGGGGGCTCAGGACTAGGTTTAGGGTTAGGATTAGCCCAAGAGTTAGGCTTAGGGTTAAGTTTAGTTTTAGATTTAACTTTATGTTTAGCGTCAGTTTAAGCTTAACCGTAGGTTCAGCTTCAAGTTTAGCCTAAGGTTTAAGTTTAGGGTTAAGTTTAGCTTTAGGCTTAACCTTAGCTTTAGCCTCAAGTTTAGCCTCAGGTTTAGGCTTAGCCTTTTGTTTAGCCTTAGGTTTAGGCTTAGCCTTAGATTTAGGCTAAGCTTTAGCCTTAGCCTTTAGTTTAGCCATAAGCTTAGGTTTAGCTTTAGGTTTAGCCTTAGGTTTAAGCTTAGGTTTAGCCTTAGGTTTAAGCTTAGCTTTAGGCTTAGCCTTAAATTGGCCTTAGGTTTAGGTTTATTCTTATGTTTAGCCTTAACATTAAGTTAAGGCTTAGCTTTAGGCTGATTCTTAGTTTTAGCCTTAGGTTTAAGCTTAGCCTTAAGTTTAGGTTTAGCCTTAGGTTTAGACTTAGCTTTAGCCTTAGATTCAGGCTTAGTATTAGCCTTAAGTTTAGGCTTGGACTCAGCCTTAGGTTTAGCTTTCGGCTTAGCCATAGGTTGAGCTTTAGATTTAAGCTTAGTCTTAGGTTTAGCCTTAGGTTTAGGTTTAGCCTTAGGTTTCAGCTTAGCCATAGGTGTAGGTCTAGCCTTAGCCT